GGGGGGGTTTTGGGGGGCACCGGGGCTCGGGGACCCCCCCGGGGGGCTCTACCTGGGGTGTAGCCCCAGGGCTCGTAGTAGGAGGGGAAGACGCCCAGGTGGCAACCGCGGACGAACTCCTCGTAGTCCACGGGCAGCAGGGGGCTGGTGGAGGACAGGAACTCGGGGTGGAAGATGATCTTGGGGAGGGGAGAAGGGGGTCAGCCCCGGAATCCTGTGTGGGAACCCCGAATTCCCACCCAGAACCCCGAAATTCCAACCCCAGAACCTCAAAATTCCCACCCCAGAACCCCAAAATCCTGTGCGGGACCCCAAAATTCCCACCCCAGAACCCCAAAATCCTCCAATAGACCCCGAAATTCCAACCCCAGAACCTCAAAATTCCCACCCCAGAACCCCAAAGTCCTGCACGAGACCCCCAAATTCCCACCTAGAACCCCGAAATTCCAACCCCAGAACACCAAAATTCCCACCCCAGAGCCCCAAAGTCCTGCACGGGACCCCAAAATTCCCACCCGAAAGCCCAAATTTCCGACCCCAGAACCTCAAAATTCCCTCCCAGGAACTCCAAAATCCTGCTTGGGACCCCGAAATTCCAACTCCAGAATGCCAAAATCCTGCACGGAACCCCAAAATTTCCTCCCAGTTCATCAAAATTCCCACCCCAGAACCCCCAAATCCTGCGTGAGACCCCCAAATTCCCACCCAGAACCCCAAAATTCCAACCCCAGAACCTCAAAATTCCCACCCCAGAACCCCAAAATCCTGTGCGGGACCCCAAAATTCCCACCCCAGAACCCCAAAATCCTCCAATAGACCCTGAAATTCCCACCCCAGAACCTCAAAATTCCCACCCCAGAACCCCAAAATCCTGCGCGAGACCCCCAAATTCCCACCCAGAACCCCGAAATTCCAACCCCAGAACCTCAAAATTCCCACCCAGAACACAAAAATCCTGCTCAGGACCCTGAAATTCCCACCCCCGAACTCCAAAATTCCCACCCAGAACCCCAAAATTCCCACCCCAGAACTTAAAAATCCTCCAATGGACCCCGAAATTCCAACCCCAGAGCCCCAAAATTCCCACCTGAGAACCCCGAAATCCTGCTCTGGACCCCAAAATTCCTACCTAAAACCCCGAAATTCCAACTCCAGAACCTCAAAATTCCCACCCAAGAACGCGAAAATCCTGCACAGGACCCCAAAATTCCCACCCCAGAACACCAAAATTCCCTCCCAGAACCCCGAAATCCTCCCTGCAAATTCCCCCAAACCCCAATGAAACCCCCTCAAACCCCCCACCCCTCAATGTCCCCATGTCCCCCCGGTGTCACCCTCCCCTGAAAGTGTCCCCAGGTATCCCCAGTGTCCCCAGAGGTGTCCCCGGTGCCACCTTGATGCGGTCGTTGCTGCTGTTGAAGAGCTCCAGCGTGTCCCCAGTGTCACCCCGATGTCCCCAAGTGTCACCCTGAGCAGGTAGTTGAGGCGGGCCAGCGCCTCCAGGAAGATGTCGGCTCCCTTGTTGGAGAACTCGTAGCGGCCGGCGATGAAGAAGAAAAGCGTCTTGTCCAGGTCGAAGTCCAGGTGCCTGAGGGGGAGCTCGCCTGGGGGACCCGAAATGCCCCAAAAACGGCCCAAAACAGCCCAAAATATCCCAAAATATCCCCAAAACAGCCCAAAAACACCTGGGGACCCCGAAACGCCCCAAAAACGGCCCAAACCAGCCCAAAATATCCCAAAATATCCCAAAATATCCCAAAATCCCCTAAAAACAGCCCAAAATATCCCCAAATCACCCCAAAACCACCTGGGGACCCCGAAACGCCCCAAAACCAGCCCAAAATATCCCAAAATCACCCCAAAAGCAACTGGGGAACCCCGAAACGCCCCCAAAACAGCCCAAAACAGCCAAAACCACCCCCAAATAACCCAAAAACACCCCAAAATCACCTAAAAACAGCCCAAAACCAGCCCAAAATATCCCAAAATCACCCCAAAACCAACTGGGGACCCCAAAACACCCCAAAAACGGCCCAAAACAGCCAAAACCAGCCCCAAATAACCCAAAAACACCCCAAAAGCAACTGGGGAACCCCGAAAGGCCCCAAAACCAGCCCAAATATCCCAAAATATCCCAAAACCAGCCCAAAACAGCCCAAAACACCCCCAAACCACCCCAAAACACCCCAAGAACAGCCCAAAACAGCCAAAACAGCCCAAAATATCCCAAAATATGCCCAAAATCACCTAAAAACAGCCCAAAACCAGCCCAAAATATCCCCAAATCACCCCAACAGCA